CTATTTTATTTAACTATATATAGAAGTAGTTTCCGCATCAACATCGGCGATGCCTATCCCGCATCCTCGTCGTCGTCGACTCGGCGGTGGAGGCCTGCTTGATCAGGGCCATGTTCGGGACTGGGCTCCGCCGGGCTGGTATTGGGAGGTGCTACCTTCCGGGGGACGTAGGTTGGTGAGGAGGCAGCCCGTTGTTGACCCGATCCTTGTTTGGTGGCGGTCGCGTGGGCCAGTGACGATGCCGAGGCTTCCGGACACCACGGAGGTGGTACGTCACCGTGTTAGTGAGGAGGACGAGCACGTCCGTCGCTACATGGTTGCATTGGAGGGCAGGTTCGACAATACCTGGCAGATTCTTCAGGGATCTCACTGGAGCTATGATCCTGTGATGGTTCCTTATCTTTGGGTGTCCACCGCCCGTGACGATACCCGTCGGGCGCTACGGTTCTAGCTGTATTAGTGATGCTATATTAGTGATAATATTCGATGATGTACGGACACAAGAGATGATGTACTTTTGCTTATAATTGAATGCATGCTAATTTGAATACTACTTTATTTTATGATTTGGTTTTGCTTATTTTATGATTTGGTTTTGCTTATTGAATGCTCATATTGGAAAAGTTCTCCTTCATTCCCGTGTGCTAGACAATTTGGTGTAATAATGCACTCGGGAATGAAAGGAAGGAGCTACGTACCATCACCGGTAGTCAGCCCGTGATTAATAATAATGATCTAATTTAGGTTTTTTAGTACATATATTTAATTGTACAAGTTTAATATTTGAATTATGAACATAGGCCGGAAATGTCGTACTCGGACGACGAAAACCGCCCAGGGGAGTGCGACTAGTGCCACGACGACTGAGGTATGTGCGACAGGTTCATTGAGCTAGACGAATATCGGCGCTTCAGCATTAAGCTCGAGGAGACCTTCGATGTTCATACGGTACGCAGCAATGACAATAGTTTTTTTCGTGATTAAGCACGACTTCAACTATTTTAACGTGTATTTTCATATTTTCCAATTCGACTAGCTTATCCCATGCTATGCAAGACGCTATGTCTTGGAGAGGACGGGTTTTGAAGACCATGAAAGTATGGAAACCAAAAAAATTCTCCTAAGGACCCATCGTGGTGTGGATTTTAAAGTAAAGTTGTACAATGCTGAGAGTGTAACCCATTTTGGTTGCAAAAATTGGGAAGTACTTTTTAAGATGTATGGTTTTGATGAGGGTATGCTTGTCACCATGGATCTTGGTGATCCTACAATCGAGCAAGACAATATGGAGATTTGGGTCATTGTGGATACACCTCCAATTCTTCCCCCATGTGAGCTTAACATAGTTATTAAGTAATTTATATTGTTTATTTCAAAATATTTGACAGCTTATTTCCATTGACAGCTTATTTTCATTGTTCAAAGAATGTGCGGAAGATGGTAGACAAAATCCACTACACCGATGGCTCCGAATTAACTTATAAGGAGAAAAATCATTTGATCGCATTTTGTACTGATCTTGAGAATTACAATGTCTACAACCGAACTCCTCAACATTATGGTCAATACGTGCCACTAGTGCACATGTTGAACTACGGTAACTACCATGGAGATATCCTGGTAAGATTTTTTACTATTACGACATCCATGCATCTTTTTGCATACTTCTAAAACTAGTACATCATTGCTAACTACGAAGTTATTACTATATTTTTAACAGATAATCCCGAATGATTGTGTGCCTCATCTGATGTATACGCACGGTAGCCTTCATGTTTTGAACATACAACCAGGTCTTCCTACGAATCTCAACTGTCCATACTGGGTTTCTAAAAGAAGTGGAGACATGACAATCAAAGAATGGAAAAAATGTACGAACAGTCGCAAGGAGCTTCTTGGAAGCAAAAGGCAGCGAAGCGCAAGAATTGGAGACAGGATGATCTCCATTCTTCATAATGGAGAGTCAGGGTCTATATTGTTTTATGCTATTTTACCTTAAGGGTGTTTAGGTCCTACCTGATACTGATGATCATGTGCTAAGAACAATTATGTAGGGTTGGGTTCAATGACTACGAGGATGATGATCGTATGACTTATTATTATTAACGAGTCGAAGTTGTATGATGATGCTTGATTAGTAGGACTTGTTATTATATATGATGATGTATGATGCGAGCATGCATGAGTTATTATATTAGCGGGTGAAATGAACATAGCAGTAGCGTTGGTAAACCAAGGACAAAGATATAAGAGAGGACACTTCTCTCTATTAGCTAGCTAATAACAACCTAAAAATAACCCCCAAAACCCCTAAACTAGCCACTTTTTTTTTAAAAAAGGAAAAACATCAGCTCCAGCCAGCTGCTGACGCGTGGAAGCCTTTTGGTCCCAGTTTATGTCACCAACCGGGACCAAAGGCCCCCCTGCCTGGGCTGCCCGCAGCGGCCACGTGGATGCCCATCTGTCCCGGTTCGTGTAAGAACCGCCACTAAAGGGTGGAGGTATTAGTAATGACCAATTAGTCCCGGTTCAAGAACCGGGACTAAAGGCCCTCACCAACCGGGACTAATAGGTGTTTCTCTACTAGTGTCAGCATCATACTTTTATCCGCTAGGGTTGCCTTTAGTTCACTTTTGTGTTACCGTGTTCGAGTGCCTACAGGTTTGACAAATTTTCATGTTTTGTTGTTTCCATTGTGTTTGCAGAGTCCCTTCGATTGCCTTAAATAAGTCAAAGTGCCGCAGCAAGCTCAGTGGTTTGGATCATTTTCAAATAGCTGCATGTGTAGTTCTTGCTTGTTGCTTGGTACACCTCTATTTTGCCAGAAATTTTGTATGATTCTCCTGATGCGCTTTTACTTTAACGTATCCTAGAGTAGCCATTTTAAGAAGAATTTTAATTTTATTTCTATGCATATCACAAGCTTGTGATCATGAATAGTGGGAATTTTAGATTGTTGATCCACCTATACGTATAATCATGGGTTTCATATGAGCATATGTATTTTTATGCAGACTGCTTTTACTCAAAGCTGGTCATGTAATGCTTGATCTGACTTTATGTATAGGCAAAACCATATAGTACAATAGAGTATTTTTATTTTGTACTCAAGATCGCATTTTGGAGATAGCAGCATGGGAAGAAGAATCCTACCTTTCATATTTGTGCACTTCAGAAAAGAAATACTATTCAACCCATGAAATGAATACCAGTTTATCAGTTTCCATGTTTTTTATTAGGTGAAGCAGAGGCCTATCTGTACTTTAGCATACCATCAGGGATGTGCAACTTTATTATCTTTGAGTGATGTTCCAACATTTTTTTCAAACAATGGCATGGCTCAAATCCTACTTGCTTAATTTAGAGAAACATGGGAGCTATGTTTGAGAAATGCTTTCAGCCCTTGCTTGCTACTATAAGGAGGGTATCTCGTCACTTTTTTGTTACATCAAAAAGATTCAAGGATGATGAGGTGGGGTTGAGACATGTCCTCTACACTCCCCTATCATATTCTTAATCTTTGTGTTCATCTTATCTTTGATTCAGATCGTTTCTTTTAAAAGAAAAACTAATTATATTGCAGTTTGCAAATAGAGATTGACAAGATAGAGTTTGACAAGATTACAAGCTTATGGAACAATCTGCCTACCGCCAAGCCCCTCTGGGTTTGTTATGTCTACCTCATCTTAGATGGTCAATGCAGATGCACTTTCAAATCACTACATGCATTGTGGAGTTCTCGGTTTTCCTTCAGCTACCAAATAATGCTTGGGTGTGACAAATAACAACATTCATTTTGCAGTGCAATTTTAGCTCACTTTCTAGATGCCCATTGGATGAGCGAAATAGGAAATGTAAACAAATTATATGCTTCCATCTAGACCTGCTTTACAATAGTATCATTAATTGATATTTTCTTTACAATGAGATGATTTCATATAAATTATATCTCTTAACTGAGATATATCAAATCGAACTATGTCTAAGTTATCTAACTATATATTTATCAACGTCAAATTGCATATTTAATTTGTTCCCGGCAAATTGACAAACCGTGGAGCTAGTTGAGTGGATCTATCTCTATTTTCTCCCTACAGAAAAAATGCATCTATTGTTTACCATGGTGTGCCACATTGTTGTCGAGCTTATACAAGTGCTCTCAGAAATGCTCACCTCTGTTGAAGTCTGTCTGGTGCACAATTATTTGTTGCAACAAAACAATGACTTGTAGGTCAAAATTATCGCAAGTGAACGCAATTCAGTTCATCCTTGGAACCTATGACTACTAAAACTTATATCTTTTTCCGTGTCATTTTCTTATGAACCAGGCTGAGAAAAGGCATGATGTTGTTCTTTGGGTAGTGTAACCGGGCTGTTAGATGGAGCATCAGAACTTCGCTTTTTGCGGCATGCAAAAAAAAAAGGAATGGTCAATTTCAAATCAAGGCACCAAGCATGACCAGTTAACCTTGTGTAGTTACTGTTATTACTTGTTTGTTAGTTGCAGCAATATGGAAGGTATTTTTCCTCTGTTATGGTATAATGTTAGCATATGTACATCTTGAGCCAATTTTAATTTTTACAAGAATACTGTTGTGCAACTTATAAATTCTATATCAATTTGTACATCTTTGAGGCAACCTCGTCTCGACTCAATAAAAGTTAAGCTACCGATATATGTTTATCTACTGAAATTATGTTTATCATTGTTCTCAAAAAATAGATAGGCAATTGAGACTCAAACTCAAACTAAGTACAAGTCCATTAGGCCTAAGAAAAAACCCACTTGACACAGTACTTTCTTGCAATCAAATTATATTCCTCTCTTCAATTATGTGCCAATAGTCTGATTATAAGAGACAAGCATAAACACAAGAAAGCACAATATTAAAATGTTGTAAACAAACTGTAAAATTACTTAATTCCCATAATAGTTATAAGAGCCAATATAGACAGGTGCGGCAACGCGTGCCATCAATGATCTAGTATAATATAATTACCTCCTTAACATTGGAGCGTTCCTTTTGTCCCATAAGGATCTCCATGATTATTACACCTAGACTATATATGTCTGTCTTGAAGGTGATTTCTCCGTTTTTTATGAATTCTGGTGCCATATATCCGCTGCATAAAAATTGGTGTACTTTGTTCGATTAGTGAATAAAGTGTATACAAAATATCATATTCTCAAATAGAATTGTTAGCCTACTTTGTCCCAATCATGTTTTCTGTAATAGCGCGACTCTTGCTTTCACTTAAGCGTCGTGATAGGCCGAAATCCGCAATTCTGGGCACCATGTTATTATCCAATAGTATATTTTGAGGTTTAAGGTCCATGTGAATAATACGCTTCCGGTGAAGATAATGTATGCCTTCACAGACCCCCAATATTATTTGATAACGGGTGGCCCACTCAAGTCCACAAGATGCATCTGTGATGGGTATACAGTACAGTACAACAAAAGGTAAGAACTATATATATACAGAGAGATAGGCTGAATTAACTAAGCTCAAAAGTTTAATGTAATTTTACCTGAGATATATTTAGTAAGGCACCGTTTGGGCAGGTACTCGAAGCAGAGCAGCCTCTGCCGTTCTTCTGCACAGACAAGCTTTCCCTCGTATGGCATCATCATGTGCTGTGTCTCGGAGCAGTGCCCAAGGAATCGTACCGTGTTCTTGTGCTTGACCCCGATGAGACATGCGACCTCACTCTTGAAATTCTTGTCCAGGATCTCAAACTTCTCGTAGAGCTTCTTCACTGCGACAGTGCCACCACTTGGAAGCACTCCCTGCGGAGCACATAGAATAGAATTCGTGGCAGCTGAGTTCAAATTTTATTTTGATTGTCTCTGGTTAATTCAAAGCGGAGGGTTTGCTGCGTGCGTGAGTACCTTGTAAACAACTCCGAACCCGCCGCGGCCGATTTCTTGCGCCTCAGAGAAGTCTCCTGTGATGGACTTGAGAAGCGAGAAAGGTAGATCCACCGGATCCGCGCTTTCGTCGAGCAACGCCTTCTCCAGCGCAACAAGCTTTTGATCATCCTCCGTTGTCTCGTTGTTGGACACCACCCCCTGTTCCACTTTGGATCCAGAAGCAAGCATCGAGGACAAGTACGTCCCCATCACCTTCGCGCCTTACCTTTCTCTGCCGGTGCCGGGCAAGGTCGAACGCGGAGCTCCAGGAACCAACTATGGCTGCGGTGGAAGAAACAGATAGAATGGCCGCGCGAAGAAGGATGTGTGCGGGTGGAGGAGGCGCCCTCGCTGGATAAGAAGAGAATGGTTGGAGGTGGAGAGGCGGACAATGGAGGAAGACCAGCTCTGACGTTGACAGTCGGCGGCCGTAGACTGGACAAGTTTTTTTTTTTTTGAGACAACGTAGACTGGACAAGTGGAGGGGGAAAACGGAATCACGAGCTCTGTGCTGCGTGCGTAACGGCCTACAAATGCAACCTGGCCTTGCAACAACTATTGGGCCGGCCAACTTTGTCGCCATTTCCTTTTTCGTTTCCAGTTTCCTAGCCGGTTTCTAAAAAATAGCAGGCTGAGTGATTTTATTACAGATTTAAAACATGTTTATAAAAAATATTTCAAAAAACATACTTTTCAATATATATATTTAATAATTTTTCCAGGAGTATTGTTTTTGCATTTTTAAAATATTCTTGAATTTAAAATTATCAAAGAATTTTATTAATGTTCGTGTATTTGAAACAATTTTCAACAAATAAATAAAAATATTCATGTATTCAAACAAATTCTTTCTATCTTAACTGATTTCATGAAATTGGAAAATATTCATGATTTTTGACAAAATGTTCATGTATTTTAGAAAATTATGAAATTTTATAAACACTCTAATTTTTTGAACATCATGAATTCAAATGGTTTTACTCGAAAAAAGCATATACCCCTGGCCACTTCATCAGATGATAATAATAAGTGCACGTCTAGGGAGTAGCCAGTTGCTCCCTAGCGGTTCAGTGTGGCCTATTTATTTGATAAGTTTTTGTCCCACGTGATTCTGAAAAGGGAAATATTACCCTTTCGTGCGAACCAAAAGTACTAAAAAGAACGCTGCTAATTAATCATCCCACATGATTTGTTGTCATATGATGGATGTCTGCATGCCTCCCGCTCACGTTGTCTTTTGTGTAATAATTTTGAATTTTTAAAAGCCATATCTTTCAAACCGTGTGTCGAAATTTAGATCCATTTTCCCCGCTGGAACCCTCGTGACGTGCTCTTCAAAACTAGATCCCGCATAGTTATGTTTCGATGAATTTTCTGTATGCAACTAAGTCCCTCGTCTTGTGCAACTGCCTAGCAGTCGATGTGCAACTACTGATAGTGAATGTGCAACTTTTCGTCTACCCCGTGGAAGTGTAGTTTTCATTGATGGCACGTGTACCCCCAAACTCGTGTTTTGCCCAGGCCAACTGTCTGGTAGTTCATGTGCAACTTTCCCCCAGCCTGTGATTGTGCTTTCACTATTTGATGCATTAGCCAACTATCTAGCAGTGGATGTGCAACTTCGCATACTGTTACCGCCAACTGTCTACCAGTGATGTGCAACTATCCCTCATACCTCATGGATGTGCAATTTCCTTACTAGCACTCGGAACCACCAGTCTAGGGGATGTGCAACTTTAGCGCCCCGTTTATATGCAACTTTAACTATCCTCATGAATATATAATTTTTCACTACCTTCATGAATGTGGAATTTTCACCATCCAACTATCCCTGCTTGTGAGATGTGCAACTTTATATGTTGCTCCGGCCAACAGCCTAGCAGACTTTGTGCAACTCCTTTTTATTAACCCCACCAAATGAAACTATATATTCACAAGTAGGGAGGGGAAGGAGTTGCACATTTAGTAATAGGAAGTTGCCTCGAACAACATACTAAGTTGCACATATCATTGATAGGGAAGGTGGGACAGGGTGTGTCCACTGGAGAAAAAACTACACATCCACGAGTAGGGACAAGGATTGCACATCGACTACTACATAGTTGGTCGGGACAATAGACTAGTTGCACATCAAGTTTTCATGGTTGGTAGGTTATAACCTCATGTGAAGTTAGATCAAGCAACTGCAAAAACTAGTTTTGAGAAAAATTGCACCATGTAGTACTAAAGTTGCACAATGTAGTACCGAAGTTGCCCAATATAGTGTCAAAGTTGGCATAAAAAATTCATCAAAACATACCCATGCGGGATCTACTTTCGACGATCTCGAGGTGAAGAATCCAACGGTGAAGACGGATCTGAATTCCGATGTGCGGTTTGAAAGATATGGCTTTGTAAAAATTCGAAAAACCAAAATAATTGCAAGTGAAGCTGTTTCTTTCAAATCGAACTAACCGGTGTGGACACATTTAATACTAATAAGGACATGCACTAGCAGATAAAAAATAACTCATGTATGGCTGTGAAGCCGGGCCACTTGTTTCCTTCAAAAAATGCACGAACACTTTACATAAGTTGGGTAATAATAAATCGTAAAAGAACTGAAAGGATGAAATAGAAAAAAAGAAGAAGGAAAATCGCTCTCAAAACCATTCGAATACCATTTTTTTCTTTTTGAAAGGAGGGTAAACTCACGGCCTCTGCATCAATCGATGCATGCAGCCATTTTTGTTAGTTATTCCACTAAGGTCTAACAGGAACATACATCAAGCCACTCGAAACCATCACTCAAACCTACAAACTTGATAATGTTGAGGGCTCTCACTCGCCATATCTATTACCGATGTTGTGACCGATCCATCTATATAACGTATCGAAACAAACAAGTGGTGCAGCAGACCTAAAGCGTACACCACATGCACACGTTTTAGAAGCTGCCATCATCATCGAACCGCTGTCCAATCTTCGGTAGAGAGATCCGTATCATCCTTGCCAGTTCGGCCGTCCGTCGACGCCACCACGGCGCCCAACGACTCCACTGACATGCGGTAGTCCATCCCAACGCAAAGACTCTGCAAAATCTGTCGTGCATAGCACCTGCTGACCAGGCATGACACATCGTAGCACCTGCCGGCCAGGAATGACTTGACATCTGTTACCAGACGCATCTGACGCGGTAGATAGAACGCCGCTCCTTCTATCAACCTGCACAGCATTGCCGCTCTTGAAGCTGACACGCGGAGCCCTTCACCCACAACAACTCTCCCCCGAACACCCATGCCTTCCAAGACGGCGCCTCCATGGAGGTTACGACGCGCAGAGGGCCGCCGCCGTCTAATCCAGGAAGGATTTTCGACTTTCGTCCAGGAGGGGGTCGGAGGTGGAAAGGAGGGACCTCGGTTTCGCCTTCAAGAAGGGTAACAACATTGAAGCCGTCGCCGATGCCGGCCGAGCTAGTCAACCAAAGTTTCCTCTGGTCCTCATCATGTACCACCAATCTCCATCTGCTTCGGATCTGGCAACAAGCCAAGACACGAAAGCAGAGAGGAAAGTACCATGGGGATCAACCCACCACAGGTCGAGGTGAGCCTCCGGCATAGATCCATCCAGGCGCCCGATCAATGAAGATCCTACCTCGCTAGCATGAAGTTGCACAACATCACCATTTACATGCTGCCTGCATTCCCGCACCAAATATATGTGCAAACTTGTGTAAAAAGAATAAAAAAAAATTGCTTGTCCTGAAGGCATCTCTTGATGGCAGCCATGCCAAAATATCTGAAAGTCCGCTACAGACTCAAAATAGTTTTTCTTTTCAGGGAACAAAAGATCTTCTGTCATTTTATTTCCTCAAGGCAGCTGGGTGGTACCGTGTCCTTCCTAGGAACCTCAGCAGAGGTGGTCTTCCTGCTTGCCTGCTTGTTGCCGCCTGCGACAAGTTTGTATATATGACGAGCAGTTTTCTCAGCTTCCATTCCATAGTTACTACTGCTGTGAATATTAATTTGCTGCCATTGCATGCAGGGAGGGTCTTGTCCGGAGGGCCCCTGAAAGCTGGCTCTGCAAGCTCTCACAGTCAGATATCCGTGCTTGTATCCTCTTCAAGGTAAGTTAGTTCATTGACGCTATCTGCAGAAAGAGAGAGATAGAGGAGTCCACTTTGGATCCAATAATATGGAAAAACTATACAGGTAGGAAAAATGCAAAAACAGCTATACCAAGATTGTGTATGATACCAACTGGGATTCAGTCCTCTCCTCATTGTGGCAAAAGTTCAGACTGACAAATGGATGGCCATCTGTTTATGAATATATAGAACTGTTACATGCATCTGCCCGATAGTGATTATTGGAGATCGATGTTGGCCACTTATTACAAACTACTGTGATCCAGTGCAGATCATGAAGCAAAGTTTCATGATGTGAAAACCCCACCCCATTCAACCCGGTTAATGATGCAGTTTCAGGAAATTACATGTTCTCCAAGCAACCTACAACACTCTGTGTCTATGAACTCTGGTTCCTTCACCTGCTTGACACAACACTGGGTATCTCTGTCTGCTTCAACCGTTGAATGGAAAAATGAGATGTTCTTGTAGGCAGCTTTTATTATTTCTAGCTTTTAGGCGATGTTTGAACTGAACCTTCTTGTGTGATCGCAGCAAAGTACAAAAAAAGGGATGAACTTAAATATGCAGGGCAAATCAAGAAAATAGTCTCTGTTCTCATCATTTTCCCCCCCTCGCTTTTAGGCGATGTACACGCTCTTTTGCACTGGTTTATCGATAATTAACATGACAATTCTACTCTCAAAGGAGCTGCTGCTACAGCGGGAGGGGTCAGCTGCCGCTCCACCTGCTCCTGTGTGCAGGAGACAGCCTTCGCCATGGACTGTGTGGTTCCAACAAACGACAATTAAGGTTCAGAGACACAGTAATACAAAAGTGACCCCGCGTCGCTCCCCAGGAGCGGCTCGGGCGAACCTGCACGCCGCCGCGGCCGGCTCCCTCCCGCCTCCTCCCCCACCTCGCCGCCACCATAGGGCGCCGCGGGCAAAGCCAGCACGGCGTCCGCGGCGGCGGGGCTGTCTTCTCTTGCGCGCCTCGACGGATCTCGAGCGGCGGCGGCTGATGCGTGTACGTCGGCGGTGCGGGCCTAGGAGAAGGGCGCGGTCCTGTGCCTTACCTCGCGTGCCGGGGTCGCCTTCAATGC